AGTTTGCCCAACTTAGCCTCTCAAAGTGCTGAGATTATGCCACTACACCCAGCCAGGAGGACATTTTGAATTTATATCACCTATGCCAGAGGGGATTTGATTGTTTTTAATCTCTGTGTAAAAAGGATTAATAACAAACATTTGAATTTTTAAATGAAGAGTCTTTCTGCTTTAAATAGGAAGGAAAATATTAGAATGATAGAAAATTGGCCTAGAGAACCTGGCTTTTTACCCAGTAAAGGGTTTAAAAAACAAAAGAGCAAAACAACTCAGACTATCAGGAAACAACTCCCACCCCTTTCTTTGTAAAGAACATAAGTCTGAGTGTATGATAGTATCATATTACTTGCATTTTATAAGCTCTTTTTGCCTCATACATTCTTAGGTAATTAAGTGCCTTTTAGCCTAAAAGCCCTTGGGATTTCATTGAGATAGTCCATCAGAGGCAAAGTGATATTCTGTGTTAAAGCTTCTTGGTCATGATTTGATATTTTGAAAAGTATTTTGCTATGGGGTTTGGCTCAAGTTGAACAAGGGATGGATGGTGGTAGATAATATGTCAGGAGAAAGCTTTAATGTTAATGCACTTTCTTTTGGTTGATTGTAGCTCTCTACTTGGCTTCTTATGAAAGTGAAGGACCTGAAAATCATATAGAGAAAGACAGATGGAAGTCTTTAAGGTGGGTCTCGTTCTTCTCATTGCTGCCCAAGTCTGAAGGAAATTGGCTTTACTTGAAGAAAGCCACATGCGTTATATGGAAAGCCGCTGTCATCTGTTCCAAGTCCTCTGTACTTCATCTCTTGTACACCAAATCTTTGTGGCTCAGAATTCTCACTACCGTCATTCTGCTTTATTGCCTTTCATTTTTTATACTGGCAGATATATAGTGACTGTTCTTTTTCTCTCCCATTATTTAATAGAATAAGGAACTGAACCATAGTATGGTTAAAAAAAATGCATTAAAATAAAAGAAGCACCGGTAGGCTTTATATAGTTAGTTGGGTTTGCCACCTTCCAGGTGGATCTCAGTCCCCTCTTTGAGAGAGTTGGGACTTTAAACATGATCTAGAGATTTTTCAGATTTACAACTTTTGCTATTCTATGAGTATTTTTGAACAAAACTAGAATAGGATTAGATTTGTATTTTAAGCATTTGAGATACTTTAATAGGCAAAAAGCAGCCCAAGAAATAGTATAATACAATCAAAATTGTTAACAAGGTATTTTTAATGAGAAATGCGGAATGTATACCTTTTTGTTCTGGGGTTTGCAAGCACATTTTTCTCTTCCTTTTATGGTCCAAGAATCATTTGAGACCCTTCATTATACTTGATATTAGGCTAGATTTTACAAACCAGGATATCTGAGATATGCTTGGTTTTGTGTGGTTGGGTTTGTTTCAGAGGAAAGCTTAGGCCTTCTTTGTACCTTCCCATGATGAGGGATAAGGTATAAAGGCATTGGAATTCTTATCATTAGGACATCATGGTTATTGGTAAAGGACTGAAGATGTTTCTTGTGTCCCCAGACAAACATAAAGAAGGTTTGGCCGACGCCTAGAGCCATGGGAATGTAACGGGTTTGTTGGGCTGATGCATATAATATATTCCTACATATACAGGCTGATGCCTAATTATATGAATAAAATAGATAATTTTGTGCCTAGCAGTGGCACATTTCAATTAAAATTTTCTATTACTTTGTGTTCGTATTAAAATATTTCACTGTGCTATTTCATATTATTCATGTGCAAAACACGAGCTGAGCTCAGAATGCGTATCTTGCTCTATAAAGGACTTGAGAATTACTCCTTTTAGTTATCCTTTTTTTATATATTTTGCCTTCCATATGTCTTCTTTTTAATCCTTTATATATTTTTAAAAACATTAAGTTTTGTGGGGCCCCTGGGTGTATAACTTAGCTTTGTTACTTTTCTTGCAGATTTTTTTAAAAATTGGTAAGCAGACAGATTGGCTACAAGTAAATGATATCTGGTGTCGAATAACTGCATTACCTGTGGTCTCCAGACATTTTAAATTAATTCATTACCTACCAACAAAATTATTTTCTAGTTCTTGTTATTTTATGACATTATTATTAAGTAGTGATTAGATTGGAAAGGTTCATAGGTCAGAGGTTTGACATTAAAAGCTAAACATTGAATTATATAATATCTTCCCACATCTGTACTGTTAACATAATATATGCTCTCCTCAGTGTCTTCTCCACCACCAGCTGCTTGCATCTTCTGCTGCCAATGTGTTCCTCACAATGTCCAGCTACTTGTGTGTCTGCCTGCTAGGGTCTCGGGTTTTTACAGGCCCAGGGTGGGGGTGTGGTGGTCCAGGGTGGTGTTGGGAAATGCAACATTTGGGCAGGAAATGCCTGTCTAGGTCCTTGGGGGTGGAGCCCTAGCCAGGGACCTGCCTTTCTCTACCCAGCACTTCCTTCCCTCATTCCATATTATTTAAAGGGACTATGCTCTTCCTCCCCAGCACTCCCGTATCAGTTGGTTGAAATGAAAGTTATATTCCTTGGTATAAAACACAGTTTCCACGTTAAAATTGTTTTTTAAGGAGTCTTGAAGAATAGCTTCCATCGCTGTTGGTGTTCAAGCCACACACTCTGCCTTTTCCATATCCTGTTTGTTCTCATGGCCCAGCTCCAATGCCTCCCCCATCCCTGGCCTGTTTTTTCCCTAGAAAGAATTTCTCCAGAACTCATACACTCAGGAGGCAATCTTCTTCTCTGTTACCAGCCATGTGGTTTGTGTAGTATTTGTGGTTCTTTTCCCGATTGCTGAGTAAGCCCCTTGAGGGCAAGCACAGGTCCTTCCCCTAATGTTTGCCCCAGCTCTGGACACAGTGTCTTGCTCTCCAGCCCATGCTCCTGTAGTGTCATTGAATGGTACTGGGTTACTGCAGGTGTTGGCCAAGGCATAGCAACCACAAAGAAGTTAAAACAAAATCAAACAGCCTATTATAATTTACAAGATACATATGTTAAGTGGGTACTAAGATGAAGCATAATCATCCCTTAGCATTCATGGGGGATTGGTTCCAGGACCTCCTGCAGATACCAAAATCTGAGGATGCTCAAGTCCCTGGTATAACAAAATGGAACTTTTTGTTGCTGTTGTTTTAAGAAATATTCTTTTCGTATGGCCATCAATCTTACTGAGTCAATACAACATGACCAGTTAGGGTAAATTCAAAATAACAAATAAATAGATAGATAGTACTTAAATATAACCATACACATCCTCCCTTATATTTTAAATCATCTCTAGATTACTTATAATACCTAATATAACGTAAATGCTATGTAAATAGTTGTCATACCATAAATCTACTTACTTACAATATCTAATGTAACGTAAATACTATATATGTAGTTGTTATAGCATATTACTTGGGGAATAATGACAAGGAAAAAGCCTATAAATATTCAGTACAGACACTTGTTTTTTGTTACAAATATTTTTGATTTGCAGTTGATTGAATCCACAGGTGCAAAACCCACAGATAGAGAGGGCTGGCTGTATTCTGGAATCATTGTACTGACCTGAAAACGTTTATACATTAGCTTTAAAGGCAGTAATTTACATAGATGCTTTCCTTGGTGGACCTAGAGGCATTCATTGCAGACACATAGATTGATCGGTAGTAATGACAAATACACATCTGATGGCAGTCACCCTTACTGTCACCTGTTAAACTCTCCCGATGTTCATGGAATGTTTCGTGAAGATGCTTATATCCAGCAAGTAAAGCCATCTGTGATAACCCGTACCTAAAAGCTCTTTATCATCAATCATCTTTGCTTTTTTTTTGTTGTTGTTATAATATAAACCTACTCAAGATACAGATTGATCTGTTAAACCTTTTGCCATCTCCCTTAATAAATGTTTGTTTTTTTAAGTGACTAGCAGTTTTCCCAGAGACCCAATAGGACTTAAAAGCTTGAATTTTTTTTCTTCCTGGTTTGACTTTGTAAAATCAAACTTAAAATACAAGAAAGATAAAATTAGTATCACAGAAGACATTTTCATCCTAGTTCAAGTAGTCTGCTACATTCTGTCTTAGGCTGTGTTGTTTTTATTACTCAGGTCGACCCTCTTAGGCAGAGTTTAACACGTGGGAGCTGCCTGTCTGCTGCTGCTGCTGCTGCTTCCTGCAGATCACTGAAGGGCTGGCCTTTGTTTTCTGGTATCTAGTACTACGAACACTTATGAAGACCCCGCAGTCATTGGAGTGCCGCGGTCAGCAAAGCAAGCAAACTCGCTCAAGACCAGATGGAGAACTTCCTGCAGCTGACAGATAGACTCCGATTTTGTGAGACTGAAATGTTCAGTGAAGACACTTGAGAAAGAATCCTCTAAAAATCCCGGCTCTGCACATGATTCATCTCTTGGAATTTCCATGTGAATCACAGCTCTGCACCTGGATGGGGTTTTCTTTTGTGTGTGTTTTTTTAATTTGGTTGAACATTTGCTGCTAATGGGACTTGCCCAGCTGAGTGCTGGCTCTGAGAAAGCCCATGTTTCTTTTGTTAATTTAAATGAAGAAGGGAGTGGAGGGAGGGGCTCAAAAACCCCCTAACACCCATCCCCCAGTTTAGATTCCAAACCTCAGCTCAATCAGTATTGCCAGGGGAGTAGGACTGGTTGGAAGCTGACTGTGGACTTTGTTTCCCTTTAGTGTGTGCTGTGTTGTAAATTTTTCTCCTCCTTCCCCCTACAAGGTTTTGAGTTGGCTGCTGGTTAGCAAACTCCTTTTTACCCATATAAGTTATTTAATATAATAATGAAGCTCAACACTGTGGTAGGAAAATAGCCACTAGGAAGAAAAAAAAGCAGAGTTTGTCATTGGACTGCTTAACACACTAGAAGGACTTTTTTTTTTTTTTTTTTTTTGCCCTTCCAAGCTGTTTACAACTGACCTCTGTCTTCTACAGATGTATTTTTCAGTAACTTTTTGTTCCTTAGTTTTCCATGATGCCTATCTTTTTTTCTCTTGTAAATTTAAATGAGCTGATTTTAAGGATCTTGGGAAAACCCATGGTTTAATAACAATTTAATTTTTTTTAACTGACTTATTTTTCATTACTTTTAGGAGTTTGTGTTGGTAACTAAAGATGTCAACAAAGAATAAATTGGAAAAGTTTCCACCCATCCCCCACTATAGCAGTAAACAAAACAGATGAAAAACACCTTGCTGTTAACTCAGTGGTTATCTAATTGTGAAATCGTTCACTTGTTAAACATCTAAGTAAGTCTGTAGTCGCTCTGCAAACAGCCATTATATTTATTTACTCTAGGAGAAACTGTAGAGTAGTAATTTGTGCTAATGAAAAAAACAAAATGCCATGTTCAAAACAGATGTATTGGAAAACTTAACGACATGGTTCCAAAAACTAGAGCATGTATGTATGCTGTGCATCATGTCAGCACACCTAAAATATCCCCAAGTTGTCCCTTTACAACCATCAATATATTTTACACTCTGCAGCCAGGAGTTGTGGCGTCTTTCTTTTCTTTTATGGATAGAATTGTTGGAGGTGGGCATGGGCACTATAATCACAGTGGATCAGTTCAAGAAACTGGCTAAGAATGTATCTGAGGAAGTTGCCTTAACAGTGTGTGCATGGGCATTTGTTTTCTAAAAATGAATGATTGTATCATTTGCCAGGCATTTTCTAAGTGTTTAGCATAGATTCATCTCTACTTATTAGGGGTGGAAAGGGTTATACATTAGTAATTACTTGTGCAAGGCCACTTAGCTAATGAGAGGCACAAATATTTGAAATGGACCTTCTAACTCCAAACCCTAAGCTTTAAATCACACCATCACAGCATCTCAAACTTCAATATCCTTGCAAATAACCCAGGAATCTTTTTTACATGCAGATGCAGATTCTGTTGGTCTGAGATGGGGCCCAGGGGATGCTAATGCTACTGGTCCTGGGATCTGCTGAGAGTAGGAAGGCACTTCCGTCTCATGATACCTGTTGAGATTTTAATTTATTGGGGTAGCTGAGTGGTGACACAGGACAATGCCACTGAAAGCTTTATATTACTCAATTTCCTGAGAGGGAAGGGCACATGCCATGTCATGCCAGGCCACAGGGGAAGCACTGGTGTCAGTTGGGGACAGAAGCAGGAGCAAAGAGAAAGGATAGGCCTTGACAGGTTTCTGTAGGGAGGCAAGGCAGAGCAAAGCCAACAGTTTCAGATGGCAAGTCTGAGTAATTCCAGCAGGGTCTGTGCTGGAGGGGTGGTCTCCATTTGCGGGTACCTGGTGCCTGGGGTGAGTTAGGACAATTTCTATATTGGCTTGGTGTGTGTGAGTTAGCCATAGGGGAAGGTTGGGGCTATGTTCTTGGCAATAGTTGGGTATGCTCAGGGGCCCAGTCCTTTGCTGTCTGCAAGAATTAACTAGTCCTGGAGTCTCTTCCCTGCCAGCAAGATTTATAAGATATTAGAACATCATAAGATACAGAAAAAAAACCATGATTAATGCAACTTCACAATATTGCCTCCTTGCACTGCCTTTCCCTGATCCCTCTACCACTTCGGTTATTGCTGTGACAGCAACAGGGTTTATCTTTGAACCGTCTACTATGGTTCAAACAATTGGCTAGATCTGGCCCACAAGGTAACAATGGTTGAAAAAAAATCAAAATATTTCATGATGTCAAAATTATCTGAAATTCAAATTTCTGTGTCCTTATGTAAAGTTCTATTGGAACGTGGCCACATATTTGTTTATATGTTTTCTTGTGGCTGTTTTCTGCTACAACTGCAGTGTCTTATACTTGTAACAGACTGCATGGCTCATAAAGCCTCAAATATTTATTTAATGGACTTAATGGAAAGTTTACTGACCCCTGATCCGTTTTTTTAAGCATTGCAGAAATTGTTGGCAAAAATGCTATGAGAGCTCTATTATGACATTAGATACCTAAATGTAGCCGTTGAAAACATTTCCTAAAGTGGTATTAGACCTAAAAAAAAAGAAGTGATTCTAAGGCAATACGTTTTTACAGAAAGAGTTACATCCTTGTATTCATTTAAATGTCCAGGTAAGCCAGATCTTTATTTAAATCCTGTGTTTACCCGTGGAAATATTTCATATTCTCCCTTTCGTGCAATGTGTGCATTGGATTCCCCAGCGGGTGTATAGATGAATTTATAATTTATGTGGCTGGGTGGAAGCCTGGGTAAATACAAGCATAAACAGCATTGGGCAATGCCAGTCGATAGACTGTGATTCAGGATGTGTTCTGTCCAGGCATGCCATTCATTTCAAAGCTTTGCATTTCAAAGCTGCAGGCTTGGAGCTAGGACTGCAGGGAGGGTTGGGGGCAGGGTTCAGAACTGGTTGGGCTTAGGAAAATACCAGGAGAATGTACCTTCTAGTACTTGAAATGTCCCTTCATTTTGAGGACACAGGAGTGGCCCACCTTTCATCTAACAGACTACAGAATTGAAAGCTGATTGTCTTTGTCTTCGAAGGATTTTTGCTTTACTTCTTCATTTCACCTGGCTCTGGCTCCTCTGTCATTTTCTCATTTTTTTGTCTAGCATACTTTTAACCTCTTTTTGTACTTTCTTTTTCCAACTGCTGTTCACATGGCACCTGTGTGTAGAATCCCAAGAAAACATAGCCCACTGTTAGAATTTTAGTTGTTGAACTATATAAGAATTTTGAGCTGTAGATTAATGTCCTCTACCTTCCTTTGGTGCCTTTTGTTTACCCCTTAACCTGAACAAAAGACAGTACCTGCCCCTGTTCCAAAGGTGTCTTACTATTCCGATAAAGAATGCATGCCTGGGAATAAAAAAAAAGCTTAGACTAATTTTCCACTGGAGCTAAGTGTTCAAAGAAATTCCTGAATTCATTTCCTGGGGGAAAAAATGTAGTAAGTGACCTGGAAACTACTAACAACATATAAAACTCAATACTCTGGTGGCGACTTCATTAGCTTTACCCTTAAGACATTTTAAAAGGAAAGACTTTTGTCAGAGTTGGTCTTCTAAAGTTTTAATAGGAAATTGGGGCACTTTCTGTACAATTCAAGCCAAAGATTTTTTTTTCCTGGACTTGAATGATTGGATAATTGCCTCAATTCTCTGTTCCATGTAATTGAGATCACTCGACTCTTTCAGCGCTAATAAAGAGATGTTGGGGTTTACGGTTTATTAACCAAACCTTTCAGTTTGTGGACTTGTCATTCAAAACTGCAAACAAGGCTGATCCCATGCAAAATAAGAACACTGCCTTAACTTTGTACTAAGAAGTCCTCTTAAAAGATGCATTTTTAAATTTTATGCAGGGAGGAAATTCCCAGGTAGCCAATTTTCTTTATACTGTTAGTAGCCTTAGCAAAATTAAACTCTGCTCTGCAAGGCTGAAACCCTGCTTTACTTTTCTAAGATTCTACATAACAGGAGATCAAACATCCAAATATGTATAATCACATTCTGGACAGTATGAAGAAACTGTCTTGGAATATTGTTAACTATTAGAATACTTAAAGTGTGCACATCACCCAGTTCAGGATTTCTAGGTAATAGTAGCTTATACTTAAGAAAATTAAAGAGGAAGAAGGGGCTGGGCACAGTGTCTCACGCCTGTAATCCCAACACTTTGGGAGGCCGAGGTGGGCGGATCACTTGAAGTCAGGAGTTTGAGACCAGCCTGGCCAACCTGGTGAAACCCCCTCTCTACTAAAAATACAAAAAAAAAAAATTAGCCAGGTGTGTTGGCGCACGACTGTAATCCCAGTTACTTGGGAGGCTGAGGTAGATTGCAGTGAGCCAAGATTGCCCCACTGCACTCCAGCCAGGGTTACAGAGTGTGACTCTGTCCAAAAAAAAAAAGGAATAGGAATAAGGAAACTGATATTTCTGAAAATAAAAAGTAAAGTTACTTCTTGATGGGTGTCAAACCAGTGAGTTTTCTACAATAAAACAAAGTTTGCTCTCTTTCTCTTCACCCACACTGGAGAAAATGAAAGTTATCCTAAAATCACCTTTCTCCAGATGAATCATAGTGGGAAAGTAAGTTTAGCAGAATGTGCTGTTAACATGATTGAGATAAGGCAGTTGGAAGACTGGCATTGTTACAGTTTCTGCAGCGCAATTGGGAGTACTCCTAAGTGCAGGTGAGCTGTGGTGAGGAGCTCAGTAAATATGTGTTGAATGCATGAGCAAGGCAATTATTAATCTGGTTATCATTGCGGATTCACAGATTTCACTTTATATGTTGTAACAAATCTCAAATGTACCTGTGAAACATCTGGATTTTGAAAATAAGTATAAATGTAAGTGATTCCAATCCGTTGTCATGGGTGGCACTATTCCCAGAAATCAAAGAAAATCCGAGCCACTGAGGGTTTTTTAAAAATTATAATTATTAACTAGATTGTTATACTCTTCTGTGTTTATAATTAGTACCAGTGATCAAGAGAATAAATCCAACCTTAACAATAACATAAAAAGCCATCATTTAAAAAAACCTGGGACCAACATGGTTTAAGGTCATGGGATAAATCTGAAACATACCCAGTGAGAACTGTTGTCTAAGAATGTGAGAATGAAGCGCTAAACCTCACTCTCCCTTGATTTCTGGGATTTTGTGGAAGCCTTCCCACCTTTCTGAATTTCTGGGTCCTCATCTGTGAGTAATGTGTCTGGACTAATTGAGATGGAATGGGCCTTCAGGGGTATGTGGTTTGGGAAAGCACTTTCTCAGCTTGCTGGATTAAAAGGTAAATTAGCAAGTAAATGCAGCATCCTGCATGTGTGACTCCAACCTCTTCCTGTCTCACTCTTCTGTTTTGTTTAATTCTGTTTGAAGAAAAAAGGAATAAGAGGCTAATTGCTACTCGGTAGGACACAAAGGAGTGATAAAGGCTTAACTCACCCCTACCCCTTCAGTTGCAGGCAGTTACACAAAATACACAGTTTTTCATGATAAAGAGTGATTGTAACCCAGACCAGGAATTAGAAAATATCCTTTGTGAAAAGTCAGTTGTATGATTTCAAAGATGCTAGATTAAGAACACATAGTCTCTGAAGACTGCAAAAATAGCTTTGTTGTGTAGACTACATCTTTGTCATAGCAGCTGTTGTAATTGTGCTTGTTGACATAGATAAAATATCACATAACTTGCCTGTTCACACCTAGTCATTTGCAAATGAGTCACTAGTTGGCTCAAAGGACCAAGACTTAGAGTAGTGATGGTCAGAGCCAACTTCTGCATTTTGTCAACTTTCACTCCTTAGACCAGTGAGGGGACCTCCTTGAAGGCTGTCCAGACAGGGTAAGCTGTTGAATTTGACATACATGTTAGGGAAAGTCCTCCAGTGAAGGAAACCAGGGCATGTATCAGTCCCAAGAGAGTGAATACCTTCTTTCCTTGGACTGTACTCTCTGAATCCTACTCCAGGTAGGCCTTTTCTGCAAAAGAGAAATGATCAAAGAAAAAGACAAAAATTAATGAGGAAGAAAAATGTTGAGGGAGACGTAAATAACAAATTAAATAGCTTTTGACAAGGGAAAGTTTAAGAAGAGGTATGACATTAGTAGTATTCAAGCATCTGATACATTTGAACTCATTTAAAATCTAATAAGAAAACAATGAAGCTAGGAAATATATTCTCTTGGGAGATCACAAATTATTCACTAATAAAATATATATTAGGTAAATGAACTGAACTAGATAACTGGGGGGGTTATATTCAAGTACAGTAAGTCATTGAACTGACTCAATAAAATGAATTTCATAAAATTCTGGAAACTAGGTGTCAGCAACCCCTTTCTACCTATTCTAAAATGAGCAAGGTATTTGTGAAGGGCAAAGAGGAACTAGATGGAATGCTTGCTCTCTCAACCAGTTCAGACTTAGAACAAAGTGTCCAACCTACCCTCTGCGGGAGGACAGAGCTCGTTAGGAAAAAAACCGGATCGCAGGTTAGAAGAAAGTCTCAAGTTCAGGCTTTATTGAGAGGAAAGAGCCTCCGGACGGACCAACCGGGAAGAATAGGAAAATGGCCGCGCGGGCTCAGAGGAGCAGGGTTCTTTTATAGGGGGCTGAAGGGCAGAGGGAGTGGGAAGGCCGGGAGAGCCGAGGTGGTGGGCAACGGTTGGTCAGTTTAAACCGCTGGGCGGGAAGCCGGGCGGCGGGAAGCTGGGGAGTGCTGATGAGGCAGGCGGTGATTGGTCAGCCGGTTGCCGGGCGGGAGGTGGCTGCGGCCAGGCGGGAAGGCTAGAGCGGTATGTAGAGTGAGAGATACGGGAGCCTCTTTGTGGGGGAGGGAAAGAGCTATCACGATAGGGGCAGTTTTCCAAACACAAAGAATAACGGAGGAGGTTCTTAGCACTTCCCCTAAAAGGCTCCGGAACTATAAAATGCTCTTTTCTTTAGGATATTTTTACAAAGTTTTCTTAAAGATTAATCCAACCTACAATGACCCAGGTTTATAGTGGAATAAATGTGATCCCTTAGCTCTGCTCTTACGTTTTATGAGAGCAGGTGAGAGTGAGGTCCATTACTAAATTTTATAAGAAGGTGTAGAGAGTCCTTCAGCTGTGTACAGAATGCAGGTCTGTTACCAAAATATTCTTAATAGTAGAACTTCTTGTGTTCAGGGAGTTCACAGCACAGTGAAGGCAGTTCTTTGGTTTTTCTCCTCAAGGTTGACTGTCAATCTTTTTTTTTTTTGGGTGGAGTTTCACTCTTGTCGCCCAGGCTGGAGTGCAGTGGTGTGATCTTGGCTTACTGCAACCTCTGCCTCCTGGCTTCAAGCAATTCTCCTGTCTCAGTCTCTTGAGTAGCTGGGATTACAGGTGCCCACCACCACGCCTGGCTAATTTTTTGTATTTTTAGTAAAGATGGGGTTGCACCATGTTGGGCAGGCTGATGTCGAACTCCTGACACCGGTAATCCATCCTTCTTGGCCTCCGAAAGTGCTGGGATTACAGGTGTGAGCCACTGAGCCTGGCTGACTCTTTCAATCTTGAATGAACCTGAAGAGGTCGCTACTCGGTTTTCCTGCAGGCCCAGGTGTAGGCTGTTGGAACTTCAATTTCCAAGCTCTTGCTAGTTCCGTGGTTCTACAAGAGATGAAAGGAATGGAGGAGGAGAGTTCTGCTTCTGACTGGCTACTCCTTATAGCGAGACTCCCAAGTGATATGATGACTAGAGAGCCTCTCTCTTTTTGGCTTTAACAAAGGGTCCTATCTATTATACTTGCTTCCTGGGTCTGGGCCCCAGGAGGTCAGTGGGCATGTACCCATCCGCATCTGCAGAGGATTGGGGGATAAAGAGAGAAAACTCAGCCCTGCCAATAACTGATGACAGCATTTCCAGTGAGGCTGGTAAGTACCCAGCTATCATCCCACTTCCTAACATGCTCTATGTTTTGAAGTTTCCCATCAGTCTTCTCTCCAAATCAAGATGTCTGTTTCTTCATGGCAAGGAATTTTTAAAAATTGGTGATTTAAAATTTTTAACCTAATTCATACTGTAATGTGATTGACAATGCTTTCATGTTAGCTTTCTAACTGCTAGAGTTTTAGGGCATATAATAGAGTGAAATTTAAAATTCAGGCAGCAAGGGGAGAAATGTGTATGGAAGGACCCTCTAAAGCCCTAAATTATGAGAGGTTTAAAGGTATTACCAAGTGATTGGATTTAGCCATCAAGCTGGTTGGTGACTGGCTTGGGACTAGAACCACGATCTAGGACTGATCTTTCGCACTAAGCAGATTGATTCCCTACAAAGTAGGCCAGCCTGCCTGGGATTCTGTCCAGTTTCACTCTCCTAAGCAATTCTTAGTGTTTTCATCTATTCCAGCATTTTGAATTCTCTAATTATCAAGAAAAAATGGAATTCGTTTGAGATTAACTGAGTTCCTACGTATACTACATACAATGCATAGCGTCAGAGCTATTGAAACGTGATGAACACCCAGCTCCTGGAGGAACTCACCTTCTCCTGAGGAAATTGCCCTTGCAGTGCAGCAGGTGTTCAGAATCAATCTCTCCTTTGTGCTGCCGCTGAATCCTCTCAGCTTCCTCAGCTTAGAAGATCAGGGATTTCTCATGATGGAGGCAGACCTGAGACTTTACAAATGTTTGCCTGGCAACACGCAAACATGTGAGTACTCCTACCGCATGTGAGTACAGGGCCAGGCAGCCACATGTTGGCATATTGTTTTATCCTGTACAAGGTGGAGGAGGCCGACTAGGGACTGAAATCCAACCAGTCCCCTAGTCCTCCAGCTGTATACTGAGCCTGCACCAAGGCAGCCTCCACCAGAGGGAGGGTACTTTATTGTAATTCATCCTCCTTGAGGGGACTTTTTTCCTAATTGGCACAAATACTTTTGATATGCTAGCAGCAGCCCTGCAAAAGGACACCAACAAAATGCTCTACTGAAAGAACTTCTGTTGTGATGGCTGAGAACACGGTAAAGTTGAGGCTTAAGAGGTGGTTAGTAGCCAGATTTGGACCCTCTGCTGAGGAGCTGCACTTTATTTTAAAGATCAATGTAAAACCACTCAAGGATTTTTAGCAGTAAAGTGGCAAAGTCAGAGGTACATTTTAGCAAGATAGCACTGGCTGCTCAGTAGAGGATGAGTGGTAGCTGGGGAAGGAGGGTCGTGGAATAAGTTAGAGAAACTGGACATGAGAGTCTTATCTTAGACCAGAAAATAAACTAGGAGGGTCTGAGCTAAAGCGGGGAGGATGAAGAGGGGCAAATGGATTTATAAAATCTTCAGACAGTAGAGATAAAAGCCCCGGGTGAAGGTGATGGACTGGACCGTGTGGGCACCCTGTGGATGAAGAGGAATTGAGGCTGGGCGGAAGTCGTTGTAGGTAGATTTATGTTGTAGGGCACAAAGCAGGTGATCTCTTCCCTCCTCACCACAAGGGCCACAACTTACACCCCCATAACAAAGACAGGTTAACAAGGGAAAAGCATAACAAATTACCTGATTATAGTTTCACATGACACAGGAGCCTTCAGAATGAAAACTCAAAGTTACGAGGGAAGATTCTGATTTTGCGCTTCAGTTCAATGAAGCAGGGAGGGTGGTGTAGAAAGGGGATTAGACAAAAGAGAACAATCCAATAGACTGGGCCTGGAAACCTAGCAAAGCCTGTCTGTTTAGGTTCTTACCTCTCTGTGCCACGTTTCTTCCTCTCGGGTATGGGGTAGGAGGACTTCTCTGAAATGCGAGTCTGAATTTCTTTATGGTCAGCTCTTGCACAGGAAGGCAAGGGGAAGGTTAGAGTAGTATTTTTAGGTTTTATGGCTGGCTTTGGGGAACAGGATTCTAGTTTCTATGGCTTGCCTTGGTGGGGGGCTGGGAGTTGAGATATAAGAGGCCAGGAGGTCAGAGGGAAACTGCATCTGAGGACTTCAGCTTGCAATGCCATTTTCTCAGTCCTGTGGGTTGAATTGTGTCCTCACAAAAAAAGGTATGTGGGTGTCCTAAACCCTCACCTCCGAATGTGACCTTATTTGGAGGTAGAGTCTTTTACAGAGGTAATGAAATTAAAATGAGGATTATTAGCGTGGGCATTAAAACCACACAACTGGTATCCTTAACAAAGGGGAACATGTGGACACAAACACACACACAGGGAGAACCCATGTGAAAATTGGACTTATGCTGCCACAGGTCAAAGAACTACCAAAAGTTAGAAGAGGGACTAGGACAGATCATTTCCTAGCCCTTTCAGAGGGAGTATGGCCCTGCAGACACCTTCAGGGACAGCTGGCCTCCAGAACTTGGAGATGGGGCCTTTCTGTTGTTTAAGCCACTTAACTTGTAATACTTTGCTATGGCAGCCCTAAAAAGCTAATCCAGTTTGTTTTTTATGAATAAATTATGTATTAGCTAACATCTTTGATTAATGAAATCCCTTTAATAAAGAGGAGATTTATAAGGGAATTCAACAATACTTTCCACACTTGACCTTGAACTGCTCAACTACAGTCATTCCATGTTATTGCCAAACATCCTTTGAAGGTTTCATATTTCATTTATTTATTACCTTCAATTGTTTCACATCTTAATCAATGTAAAGCAAATAGGGAATTTGAAATGTATACTTAAATCAATGAATGCGATTAAACATATTTCCTGGAAACTGATGTGATCTAGTCCCGAGGCCCAGCCCACCTCACGATGGAATGCCTAGGCCAAATGGCAGAGTCAGAAAGGACTCTCGAGAAAACAGTGGATTTCTTCATTTTATTGATGCATACAAAAAGGTCTTGAGAATTTATGTGACCTTGAGCAAGTGATTTAACAAACTGGTGACAGGGCTAGAAGTTAAGATTTAATCTTCTGACCTGGAGACAGTTTTTTCTCCTTATATTGCTGATTTAATGTTGAATTTCATTCTGAACTGAGTTAGTTTGGTACTATGCCCAGTTTTTAAATCCAGAAGCTGAAAGTCAAAGATTAGAGACTCCCCATCCTGCAGCCGATTAAAAGGTGCAATAAAAATAAATAGCAGTCTATAGGAGAGCAAGCATGAGGTAAATGTAAAGAGAAAATAAAATTATCTTATCAAATACATCTCATTGGTCATTTCTCAATCTCCATTTCTGATTATACCTCAATCTCAAAACATAGGATTCTCCCAGGATTCAGAAGCTCTTTTATTTATACCTACTTTATAGATGACTTCATTCATTCCTGTGACTTTAAAATCCTCCACTACCTGATGACTTCTCATTTACAGAACTAGGCCTTCTCACTCAGAGTTGAATTCACCTTTAAATGTATGGAGCTTAAACTTTAGGGCCTCTCATTTGCACAACCTCTTTTTTGTTTGTTTCCGTAGGTATTGGGGGAACAGGTGGTGTTTCATTATATGGGTAAGTTCTTTAGCGGTGATTTGACATTTTGGTGCACCCACTGCCTAAGCAGTGAAACAGTATACACTGTATCCAATGTGTAGTCTTTTATCTTTCACCCCCACCCCCGCCATTCTTCCCCATCACCCCAAATCTCCAAAGTCCACTGTATCATTCTTATGCCTTTGCATCCTCATAGCTTAGCTCCCACTTGTAAGTGAGGACCTGTGATGTTGATTTTCCATTCCTGAGTTACCTCACTTAGAATAATGGTCTCCAATTCCATCCAGTTTGCTGTGAATGCCATTATTTTATTCCTTTTTATGGTTGAGTAGTATTTCATGGTATATTTATGCCATATTTTCTTTATCTACTCACTGATTGATGAGTATTTGGGCTTGCTCCATATTTTTGCAATTGCGAATTGTGCTGCTATAAACATGCATGTACAAGTGTCTTTTTCATTTAATGGCTTCTTTTCCTCTGGGTAGATACCCAGGAGTGGATTACTGGATCAGATGATAGATCTACTTTTAGTTTCTTAAGGAATCTCCACGTTGTTGTCCATAGTGGTGGCACTAGTTTACATTCCCACCAGCAGTGTAAATCTGTTCCCTTTTCACCACATCCACACCAACATCTATTATTTTTTTATTTTTTAATTATGCTATTCTTGCAGGAGTGAGGTGGTATCACATTGTGGTTTTGATTTGCATTTCCCTGATCATTAGTGATGTTGAGCATTTTTTTTCCATATGTTTGTTGGCCATTTGTATATCTTCTTTTGAGAATTGTCTATCATGCCCTTTGCCCACTTAATGATGGGTTCGTTTGTTTTTTTTCTTGCTGATTTGTTTAAGTTCCTTGTAGATTCTGGATATTAGTCCTTGGTTGGACACATAGTTTGAGAAGATTTTCTCCTACTCTGTGGGTTGTCTGTTTGCTGATTATTTCTTTTGCTGCACAAAGCTTTTTAGTTTAAGTCCATCTTTGTTTTGTTGCATTTGCTTTTGGGTTCTTGGTCATGAAGTCTTTGCCTAAGCCAATGTCTAGAAGGGTTTTTCCAAAATTATCTTCTAGAATGTTGACGTTTTCAGGTCTTAGATTTAAGTCTTTGATCCATCTTGAGTTGATTTTTTTAAAAGGTGAGAGATGAGGGTTCAGTTTCATTATTCTACATGTGGCTTGCCAATTATCCCAGCACTATTTGTTGAATAGGGTGTCCTTCCCCACTTTGTGTTTTTGTTTGCTTTGTCAAGGATCAGTTGGCTATAAGTATTTGGCTTTACTTCTGGATTCTTTATTGGGTTCCATTGGTCTATGTGCCTGGTTTTATGCCAGTGCCATGCTGTTTTGGTTATTATAGCTTTATAATATAGGTTGAAGTTGGGTAATGTGATGCCTCCAGATTTGTTTTTTTTGTTTAGTCTTGCTTTGGCCATGAGATCTCTTTTGTGGTTCTAGATGAATTCTAGGATTTTTTTTTCCAGTTCTGTGAAGAATGATGATGGCATTTTGATGGAAATTGCATTGAATTTATAGATTGCTTTTGACAATATGGTCATTTTCACAGTATTGATTCTTGCCATCCATGAGCATGGGGTGTGTTTCCATTCATTTGTGTCATCTATAATTTCCTTCAGCAGTGTTTTATAGTTTTCTTTGTATAGGTTTTTTACCTCCTAGACTAGGTATGTTTCTTAGTATAATATTTTATTTTTCATTTGCATATGCTCTTCTAAGAATGCATTTAATTTTGTACATGGTCTGGCATTCCTTATCTTAAAGGTACTTCCCCCCAGAATATATACACTCCAAGTTCCACAAGCCTGGATGTACCCTTTGTCCTCCCTTGAACTTCAGACAAGTACACTGCACCTCCACGAGAATTGCCATGTCCAAAACACAAAAAGGAAACTTCTGGTTTTCTCACCGGTGGCAGTCATTAGTGCTATTCACCAAATATTTCCAACTTTATTATGCGCAGGCCTGTAGTAGGTTGTGCTTCCATTTAACCCCTTTGAAGTTAGGCAGTGCTCTGTGATTGCTTTGTTTGATGATATGTGAGTGGAAGCAACTTCACTTCCGAGCAGACGCTTTGGGAACCAGAGTGCAATTTTATATGCTCCTTCCTGCTGCTACAGTGGTGAAGGCAACCAGTGTCAAAGTGAAGTCTCAGACCCCTTGGGTTCCTAAGTGGATCCTCTGAGTGGAGGCCCCTGCCCAACTGGCAATGGACAAGTCCTATAAGCAAGAAAGAGATTTTTGGGGGTTAAGCCATTGAGATGTTAGAGTTGTTTGTTACCACAGCATAACCTAGCTTATCCTGTTAGCTTATACCTCCCAAATCTGTGTCTCTTCCTGGCTTTCTAGCTCAGTAAACACAAATTCAATCTTCTGAGTTGCTCAGGACAAATCACATGATTTCATCCTTGATTTATGTTTCTTTCATTGCACATCAATAGTCCCAGAGACTGTGCCTTCAAATGTTTCTAGAAACCGACTACTTCTCACCACTTCCATGTCAAGTCACTGTCATCTTCTGCTGAATTATCACAAAAGTCTTCCAAAGCCTTGCCTTCCTTATGCTCTAGTTGTCACATGTCAGCTAGGACAGCTAGGACACCTGTTCAGAACACAAATCCACTTGTGTCACTCATCCTATTACTCATATTTTTTTCTTTCCTTTCCTTTTCCTTTTTTCCCCTTCCTTCCTTTCTTCCCCGCCCCACGCCCCACCCCCACCCCGCCTTCAACAGAATTTCACTCCTGTTGCCCAGGCTGGAGTGCAATAGCGTAATTTCAACTCACTGCAACCTCCGCCTCCCAGATTCAAGCAACTCTCCTGCCTCAGTCTGCAGAGTAGCTAGGATTACAGGCTCCCACCACCATGGCCAGCTAATTTTTTGTATTTTTAGTAGGGACAGTTTCACCATGTTGGCCAGGCTGTCTTGAAGTCCTGACCTCAAGTGATCTGCCTGCCTCAGCCTCCCAAAGTGCTGGGATGACAGGCATGAGCCACCGTGCCTGGCCTACTCATATTTCTGCAATGGTTTCTCATCTCCCTTCAAGAGAAACCCAAGGCTCTGTAAGATCCAACCTTGCTGCCTCTTCAACCTCATCTCCTGCAATCCTGCTTTGTGATCATTTGGGTGTAGCCACACTCTCCTCACTAGATCATGCACATGCTCGGCCCTTTCCTTGCCATTTCCTTGGCCTGGAACATCTGTCCAAGGCAGCTCTGTGGCTCATTCCCGCTTCATCATTTCTCTGCTCACGTGTTTCCTTCTTCATGAGGCCTTTGGTCTCCTCTAAATCAGCTACTCTCTTTTCAACATTCCCATTAGTTTGGAATAATAAGAGAAAACGTTACTATTACATGTTAGGTTCTCTGTTGAACTCTTGATATACAATAAATAACCTCATTTACTTACAGCTAACCCGTGAAATGGAAACTATTATTTTTATTTAAAACGTATAGCAACTGTGGCTTAGGGATATTAAAATGAGCTTAAGTTCACAAAGCTGGTAAGCGGCAGAACTTGGATGGATCCATCTGTCAGACTCTTAATGCTATCTTCTTAATTGCTATGTAAGTCTGCTCCATAGATTAGGAGGATTCCAAAGACATAATAAAACTGGATTTTGGCAATTTAAAAAATAATTATTTATATCATCCTATTGGCAAACAAAACTGGACTGTATGAGAGCATAGGTGAATTCAGAGCTTGCTGAGCAATGGCCCCCACAGAGTGTGGATTAATGTCAGTGCCCAATTCGATACAGGTCTGTAATAGTGTTGCAGTGTTCTGGCTCTGCCCTGGTCTTGCTCTCATTTCTATTATTGAACAGGATCAAGACTGGAGAGGCCAAAAAAGATGTGGCATCATTATTCAAAAAATGTTTTGATGCAATAATGAATTAAATCAAACCAGATAAATCTCTACAGACTGAAGTTAAACTTTGCTAGGTTCAAAACTCAATCTTGTAAATTCAGGTGGGGAGAAAACATTTCTTTGTTTCTGTCTTTTCTTTTTTTTGAGACAGAGTCTCACTTTGTTGCCCAGGCCGGAGTGCAGTGGTGCGATCTCAGCTTACTGCAGCCTCTGCCTCCCAGGTTCAAGTGATCCTCCCACCTCAACCTCTGGAGTAGCTGGGACTACAGGTGTATGCCACCATGCCTGGTTAGTTTTTGTATTTTTTGTAGAGATCGGGTTTTGCTATGTTGTCCAGGCTGGCCCCAAACTCCTGACGTCCAGTCTTGGCCCCAAGCTCCTGACGTCCAGTCTTGGCCCCAAGCTCCTGACGTCCAGTCTTGGCCCCAAGCTCCTGATGTCAAGTCTTGGCCTCTCAAAGTGCTGGGATTGCAGGCATAAGCCACCATGCCTGGCCAGGAAAGAACATTTCTTACCAAAGTTCATGTAAAGAAACGTAGTGATTTTAACTGAGCTTTCTCTTCATGTGGACCCAGAGTGTGACACCAACCACACAGGTGTTTTTAGAAACCATCATAGTCTCATTAAGAAAAACCCCTCATCCAGATTGAGGAAGAATAGAGGTGAATTGGGCTGCTAAACCATCTCTTGTATTTAATCCTATTGTTTTTTCATCCTATTGTTTTCATTTATGAATCACAAGCTTTAAAGGAAATATTTACAAACTCAAGAGCACAAAGAAGACTGTGATAAGGGTGGCGAATTGGGGGAATTAAAACCATATGAGAGACTCTTCCTGGATTCTGAGTTGTTCAATCTGAAGGGAAGATGTTGGAAAATTAATTGTTGTCTCATTTAGGCTTACTCTACTATGTAAAAGGGAATAATTGGGGCCAATATATGAAAACTACAAGGGAGCAGATTTCAAGTAAATGTAAATATTTTTAATCAACAATTATGTCCTGTATCCCTAATGATTACAGAAGATATTCCAGTGGATAGTTGTATCACTCTACCCCTACCTTCAAAGTGCTCACTGACCAGTAAGAGAGACAGCTCAATTATAAATGTTGACCTGCTTAAATGCAATCACTGAAGTTGCTGTAAGAGTCTGTAGTTGCACAGAGGAAGGAGTGATTAATTCTCTCTCTGTAGGTGGTCAGGGATATTTCACAGAAGTGATAATTAAACATAACTTAGAAGCATAGGTAAGAATTTTTCAGGGGGATAAGTGGTACAGAAAGCTCCCTGGAGAAACTAGTAAAATAGTTAAGTATATCATATAAGGATGTGAAGAAGCCAAGTAAGGGTATGTTAGTTTGTTCTGACACTGCTATAAAGAAATAACTGGAACTGGGTAATTTTTAAAGAGAAAAGGTTTAATTGGCTCACAGTTCTGCAGGCTATACAGGAAGCATGGCTGGGAAGGCCTCAGGAAACTTTTAATCATGGCAGAATGCAAAAGGGAAGCAGACACGTCTTACATGGCTAGAGCAGGAGGAAGAGAGAGAAGGGGAAGGTGCTACACACTTGTAAACAACCAGATCTTGTGATAACTCACTCACTATCACAAGAGCATCACTCAAGGAAAACCTGCCCACATGAGCCAGTCACTTCCCACCAGGCCCCACCTCCAACATTGGGGATTACAATTTGACATGAGATTTCAGTGGGGACACAGACCCAAATTATATCAGGGTACAATTTCAAATGAAGTCCCAGACTCAGCCTGATCCCATGGGGAAATCTGCAGCATAATTTACACCTCAGAGTTTGTTCCCCTTGAAGCAAAGGAGCTGAGCTTTTGTACTGCCACACTAGTCTATCCATGGTTATGGGCTACCCTGAAGGAGGGGGTTGGAATACAAAACCCCCAGGCATGCGAGGGGCAGGGCATCTCCAGAGCAATGCTCTGAAGGTCGTAGGTATAAGATGTGAGCCATTAGCAGCAAGGCATGAAGAAGTTGGAGGGTGAGTACATGACATGCTTAAAGGGATCTGGTGAAAGCACCATAAGTGTCCTTTACTAGGGACATAAAAAAGAGGGTTTTGGCTGGGTGTGGTGGTGCATGCCTCTAATTTCAGCACTTTGGGGGAAAAAATGTGCTGTGTGGAAGGTGGAAGGATTGCTTGAGCCAGGAGCAGAAGACTAGCCTGGGCAACATGGCAAGACTCTGTCTCTTAAAAAAATACAAAATTAGGTAGCTGTAGTGGCATGTAACTGTGGCCCCAGCTACTCGTGAAGCTGAGGTGGGAAAATCTCTTGAGCCCAGGAGGCAGTGAGCTATGATTACACCACTGCACTCCAGACTGAGTGACAATGCAAAACCCTGTCTTAGAGAAAGAAGAGAAGAGGAGAAGAGAATAGAAGAGAAGAGAGAGAAGAGAAGAGAAGGAGGGAAGGAAGGAAGGGAGGGAGGGAGGAAGGAAGGAAAAAGAAAGAAAAAGGAAGGAAAGAAGAAAAGAAGAAGGAAAGAAAGAGAGGTCTTCTAGTAAAAGAACCAGCCAAGTAAGGGTGTGGAATATGATGTGTGCTTAGAGGGACTGGTGCAATTTTACTGGAATAAAAGGGTGAATAGGAAGAAAAAGACTAAAGAGCTAAGGTGGTCAACTTTTGTGGTACTAAGGAAAAACTCCTTCAGTAGGTTGTCTCAGGAGAGAAGGGAATCCCATGGATATCTTAGGGAAAAATCTATAGTACATTGATACTTCATGGAGCTTTTCTGGATGGCAATTCAGGGTCCAGGTCATATAGGTATCTCATTGGAGGATTAATGGGTTATCATTTTAGTTCTCTACAAGATTTTTTCTTCTACCTTTCCTGATTCAAAATCTGAGGTTGACCTAGCAAACCATCACTGACCTAGTCTGAGAAGAACATTTTGTATCAGCATATTTCTTAACTTGCTGCAAAGCCTGGGCCTGCTAGCTATCAGCTGACACTGGGAATATAGATCACTACATTATTGGGCATGACGGAGATTAAAGTAAGAAAGGGAGTAGTGGCCATAGTCCATGTGCCATGATTGACCAGAATAAGCCTTTCTGGAGCCAGGTGAAGAAAATCCTTGTATCAGTCATTCATGGCGTGGAACCAACTTCTCAGGGCCATGCACGTGGTAAGTGAGTCAAGTGAGGCCACTGAGGTGAGTGTGGCAACAGGGGCACACAATTTAAAGAGGTGCTCACTCTTATGGCTGTGGAGGTGCAAATGAGGCCTCCTTAAGTTTTGCACCCTAGGTGCTTCACTTCCCTCAACTTAGTCCCAGACTTAGAACTTAACAGTTTAGCTTATGTACTGTGGGTTAGTACTTTGGGATGAACTCAGCTGGTCGGTTCTTCTCACTCCCAGTGCAGCCCCGTAAGCTCTAACTCTGCTGCTTCTTCAGCCTCATCTTCTGGTTTGCACTAGGCTTGTTTATGTGTCTGTGCTCAGCTGAGTTTAACTCATTGATGATGGCACTGGCTGCAATATTTGGTTGTGAAAATTGTCACTCCAGCAGCCAGAGGAAGAAGCACTGGTGAGGTGAGACTGGAGGTAACGACAAATCAGATGCAGACAAAAAATGACACCTGTTACAAGAAAGAAGGAGGATGTAGAAAAGAAGAGGACTGAGAATATTTAACAGAACGAATATGTATTGATAACATAACTGGCATGCTGGAAAAAAGCAAAAACAAACAAACAAAAATAAACCACTAGAATTTTAGATTAAATCCACTCCAAAGGGAGGGCTTCCAGTTTCAGTTAGGTCCTAAATTCTTCCCTCTGTCCATGGCTATTCCAACATTCGCTTTCTTCAACTCTTTCCAATTTCATTGCTACTCACTCTCAGCCAACAATCTTGCTTCCTTATTCACAAAGAAAATTGACGTCAATGATGGCAAATTAACTCATCTTCCATCTGTCTCCATCTACTCCCCACCTTCCTTTCCACCTTATCTCTGGCCGCCCCCACCATGACTATTTCCTAGGGTTCTCAGAGGGCAGTCTCTTCCTGTTCAAGCTTAAGGCCTCTTCCTGTGATCACCATCTCATTTCCCTTCCTCTTCTTGGATCTTGCTCCAACTCCTTTTACCAAAGGTTATGGTCCCTGTTTCAGTATTATGGGGGAGAAAGGCATTAAATGTACCATAATATATAATAGAAGCATACTTTCAAAAATTCTGTTTGGTTGTAACTAGCAAATAACCAAGTACTTAAAAACAGTTTGTACATCTTATATAAATGAGCCAGTCATGAAGTTTCTTTGTTTCGGATTCGGAACTATGGAACTATGTAAAAAGTGTTAACTCTCTCCTGAATTCACACAGCACATTATTTTTTAGTTCTGGGTAACTCTGGTATTTTACCTGAAACAATCAGTAGTCAGTGAGATGCTCGGGGGCTTGAAGGAGATAGAACTACTGGAAGGAGATCAGAGAGTAAGGACAGACATGACTGAGGGAGTGGGAGGGATTCATTTATGTGGAAACATGAAAGCAGAATTAACTAGGCAATGACTAATGATATGATAACTGTCTACAAACACCAAACGTGTATGATGTGAATGCCAAAACGTCAGATTGCTTCACTTGGCACAAAGATACAATCTGCAGATAAAATGGAGCATCCTGAATTACCGTCACAGAAAATCCCCCAAAATAAGTAGATATCAAAATGATTTCATGAAGACAACTTCCTTTCTTAGGACAACTCCCATCCATCCATCCATCCTCCATCCCTTTCTTCAGTAAACTTTAAGTACTTCAGGAGTTATAAAGCAACCAGCTCTTTCGCTTTCCCCATTCATACCTCAGGGGCCTCAGCCTCTATCCTTTCCTTTCTTCATTGCCTGAGTGGCCTTCTGGAATAATCTTTATTGCTACTTTCCAATAATAGCAAAAATAAATTATTGCTAAAAAGGCCAAAGCAATGCATCTTGATATATAAGTTAACTCAGGAAAAAAAAAATCCACAGCAGCCTTGACATTGCATTCAAAGCTACTGTTAATCCCGGAGGAGGTAGACCAGCCTAGAGAGTGAATGTGGTTCGGTACAGTCCATCACCACTACTCTAAAAGCACACCAACCGTTGTGTCATTGACTCCCCATTACTTACAAATTCTCCCTTTCTCCTGTGTGATACTGACTCACCCCTCCTGTCATCATCTTCACAGATCACCAGGGCAGTGGTAAGCCCATTTCTAAGTAGAGGTACTCAAAGTATCCCTTTGCTTGGAAAATTTACCATCATCATCACTGACACTAAGGATTAAATAATAATCCCACAATCACACATTTATTCAATAAACTCACATCGAGTGCTGGCATCATGCTAAGTTCTTGGCTGCAGCCTAAAAGCTGGTGTCACACAGAATGCCAAGACAGTCTCATTTTCAAGGAAATGTTTGGGTGCTGCTTGCACCAGTAAAGACAATCAGTTCGGAGCTGTATTTATGTATGTATGTATGTATTTATTTTTTGAGACAGAGTCTTGCTCTTTCACCCAGGCTGGAGTGCAATGGTGTGATCTTCACTCATTGCAACCTCTGCCTCCAGGGTTCAAGCGATTCTCCTGCTTCAGCCTCCTGAGTAGTTGGGATTATAGGGACCTACCACCATGCCTGGCTAATTTTTCGATTTTTAATAGAGACTGGGTTTTGCCATGTTGGTCTGGCTGGTCTCGAACTCCTGACCTCAGGTGATCCACCAACCTTGGCCTCCCAGTGTTGGGATCACAAGTGTGAGCCACCGCCCCCACTGGAGCTGCATTTTACAAAGTATCGGTGTCTCAAGCCCTGTGGTGGACTGTAGGTACAGATATAGGAGTTACATGTGTGAATGGGGTAGGGCCAAACAGCAATGAGTTGGTAGAGATATTTTAAGAAAGAATCCAAGGAGGTTTAGTTTATTGTGGAAGGTTGGGAATTGGAGGTAGAAAATTACTAAATTCTTTAGAACAACCAAGGAGAAAATATGATTCTGTGAATTCCTGCAAAGGCGATGGACCCAGGAAATGGTTGGGGCATTCTACTTCCAGACTTGAACAGGATGAAACTGGAAAGTATTGATAAAGGACTAGACTGCTGAACTTTTGAAACAGGCCTTCCAACTTTCCAAAAAGGAAATGAACATTAGATATTTAAGTGGTCTTTATTGCCATCAAGTGGTGGAAACAAGGATAGCGCTAAAAGAATTTAATATGATTTTTTTTTTTCTAAGTGGCAAGGAGGCTGGAAGTTAAACGTCAAGTAATTATTGGGTTTAAAAGCCTTTATTTAATTTGGTACCATCACAGATTTGGAACCTTTCCTGTATTTATAAGTTCTGTATTAATGATTCTCCCGATTTCTGCTTCTGGCTCTATCCAGTTCCTATCGCGTTAGTTGATGATGACTATATCATTGGAGAAATGCTGCCACCTGCGGGAGACGTGAAAAAAAGAACCGAGAGCAAGTGAGAAATCCTGTATTCATTTTGCGAAGAGAAATTTAGACTCTTTATAGTAGGAATTTATCCCTGAGCAAAATTGCCAAGCCAGCAGAATTAAACTTTAATATTTCGCAGAATGAATCTTTACTATTTCTGTCCTCTTTTTTTTTGTAGGCAAAGGGCATATATTATTTTAGAATTGTTGTTTGGTCACTTCTGTGTGACTGGGTAAATTAATTAGTCTCAGTTCTTATCTGGAAAATGTGCAAATGGACATAATAATATGTATAAGACAAAGTAAGTGTCATTTTCCTTTATTATTTGCCACCTTTTTCACACCAAACTGTGTATGACTGCTGTGCTGTTTCTCTTTTTCTTCCCCCCACCCCTTTTCTTTTTTTTGAGATGGAATTTTGCTCTTGTTGCCCAAGCTGGAGTGCAATGGCATGATCTCAGCTCACTGCAACCTCCACCTCCCAGGTTCAAGCAATTCTCTTGCCTCAGCCTCCTGAGTAGCCTGGATTACAGGCATGTGCCACCACACCTGGCTAATTTTTTGTATTTTTAGTAGAGACAGAGTTTCACCATGTTGGCCAGGTTGGTCTCGAACTCCTGATCTCAGGTGACTCATCCATCTCAGCCTCTCAGAGTGCTGGGATTATAGGCTTGAGCCACTGAGCCATACCGTTTTCTTTTCTTTTCTTTCTTCTTTTTTTTTTGAGATGGGGTCTCACTCTGTCACCCAGGCTGGGGTGCAGTAGTATGATCTCAGCTCACTGCAGCCTCAGCCTCCCCAGGCACAAGTGATTCTTCCACCTTAGCCTCCAGAGTAGCTGTGGCTACAGGTGCGTGCCACCATGTACAGATCTTTTTTTTTGTATTTTTCTTAAAGATGTTACCCATGTTATCCATGTTGGTCTCAAACTCCTGGGCTCAAACAAGCCGCCCGCCTGGCCTTGAAGAGTTAGGATTACAGGTGTGAGCCACCGTGCCGGGCCTTGTGCTGTTTCATATAGTCATGGCAGGGCAGCAAAAATACATTTTTATTTTTGTAAAGGAGCATACTTTTCTAGACCTTGAATACTCCTCATCCCTCTCTGACAATTTCTAGGTTTTTTTTTTGAACCGAGAAGTTCAGTCAAATTAAAGATTCATTTAACTCAGCTCCTGTTTAAAGCCTCCACTGCTACTTCCTCCCTGCAGGCTGCATTTTGCAGGTCGCCACTTTCTTTGATGCTTGCCATACACACAAGGTAGATCCTGAATGCAGGGGAGGCCATGAGAGCCACAAAACACAGATTTCCCATAAAGATGCCAAGGATCCGGTCCAAATCTTACTTACTTAAGAAGAATATGGAACTCCTGCTTACATTACTTTTCATCCTGTTTCTTTACAGTGATAAAGGGACCAATAGATTGTCAAACTGGATAAATATCTCCCATGAAATTTTAGGTTTTTGACAACAAATAAGAAACAGGGCCATTGATTTCAATTTTCTAAAGTTCACACCTCTAAAGATGATAACCCCGAACTCACAACCCAGAAATCTCTCCAGGACTGAACTTTCCCAAAAGATTGCCCTCATTTTCCACAGGTCTCAAGTGCTGCCTTCTTTCATCATTAGGTTGTTAAGAAAAAACACAGTTCCCCACATCGGCCCTGTCTGGTGGGTACTGGGGGACTCTGGAGGTCCTGGGAGATGTCCCTTCTTCACTTCACCCAAATATCCAGCAGAGGCCTGTGCTTCCTCGGGAGCCAGTGCTGCCATCAGCTTGGGATCTCCCCAGACCCACCCCCACTTCCGTTTTCACAGTATCTTTCCTCCTTGTGATTCTTAGCCTTGCTTCTCTTCAACTGACAACACCTAAGAACTATACAGTCATAGACCTTTCATATATATATATATATATATATATAGAATGCATAGAAAGTAGAAAGCCTTAGCCTTGCGTTTTAGGTAAGTACCGAAGAAAAAGCAGTTACATGTTAAAGCCATTTCCCTATCAAGTATAGGAATTTCTCTGAGGTAAGGAAAGTGTCTAAGTGGAAATCTCAGAAAATTACTTTACAAAGGTTAGAACATTCTCTGGGCAAGGCGAGTGGATATTGTGGTCCTGCTTTGTCACCTGTTACCTGGTAGTGCTTTGTTAGAATATAGAGGGCATGGCCTTTGGGGAGAGGTGGTCTCCTCCTCAGGGAAACCTGGTCTCCATTACTGCCTCAGTTTCCTGCTTTCTTCCTGCATGATATTCCAAGTATCACAGTGTGCCTACCCATGAGCCCAGCACCCCCTCTGTCCCAGGCACTCACAAGTCCCATAGGGAAGCATTCCTCAGATCACTGTCACTTAGTGACAAATGCAGTTTGCCTCCTACTCAATTCCATTTCTGCAGCCTGTGGTCTTCTGGCCTCCTGGAAACATTTCAATCAGAATTAGATCATTTAAGAAGGAGGTATGCACAATTTCCTTTGCAGGACATTGGGTCCAGGACAAGTCAGCCTGCATGAGCAAGGCACATGTAACACATATGCTCGCACATTTCCCAGATTTTAATCTCATAATCTGGGTCTGTTGTCATGAACATGAGAGACCAATTGCCGTGTGCTTACTGTTTTCCAGTGTGCTGGAACAGAATTACTGTAAACCAGCAATCCTGACCTGGAATTCATGGATGGGCTTCAGAGGACCTGGGACCTTCTGAAATGGTATGTAAACTCTGCGTGCGTGTGTATGTTTTGCTATGTTTATATTTTGGAGGAGAAAGTCTACATATTTCATAGGGTACTTAAAAAGATTTGTAATCCCTCAAAATGTTTGAGGTCTACTAAATGGCTTTCCAGAGTGTAAGAATTTGGTTCTCTTGGGACCCAACTATCTCATCTATCAAAGGAAAAAATGAAACATAGCCAACATCTATGAAGCATCGAGTATATGCCAGGCATGCCCATTTAGTATATCTCATCTGACAGTCTTACAAGGAAAGCATCATTCCCCTGCTCTCAGACAAGAAAGTGGAAGCCCACAGAGGTCAAGTAGCATGCCCAGCAAAAGCTGGCATTCAAACTAGCATTGCCAGGCTCCAACACTCATGTTCCAGCCACCACCACAGCGCTCTGATGGTCTTTTGTCCTGCTTGGCTCCTTTTTTTTCTTTTTCTTAACAACTGTCTCTTCATTCTTGTTTTTTAGCCACCCTTCTGCTTTGTGAAAATCAAATCAATCCATTCCCCTCTGACGGGTGCCTGCCCCTTCCTTCACTCTTTCTTCGCTCACTACTGTGCATGCCATAAGTATTCAGCTCATAAAGGAAGAGTGAGCCTGTTGGTTAGAGAGCTTTGACCCTGGTGGCCCTTGGGTCAAATCAGCCCTGCAGATATTTTCTTTATGATGAACAACGTTTTGTTAATATTTAGAAACTGGAAAAAGATCACATAAAAGTTTGGATTTCAAACTGACCTTGAGAAAATCAGAAGATCTAGCAACCCCAAGTCCACAATCTCTCTGGATGAACGGACACTGGGGTGAGTGGATGGGGCATGGGTTCTCCAGTTCCCTGCAGTCCTTACCACTCTCTCTCTGGCCCCTGCGTTGCTATCTTGTGTCATCTGCTGGGGGACTTTGGCATCTGAATTTTAACTCCTGGCATCTCCCTTTTTTTTTTCTTTCCTCTTTCCCCTCTTTCTGCCTTGCATATTCACCCAATTATGGGATCTCTCTCCTTGGAATAAACACCTTTTATTTCTCCTTTATTTATTTGCCTTCTCTCTCAGGCTAATCTCCTCTGTCTTCCTCCTTTCTCCTGGTATAGAACTAAAGACAAAGATAGACAATTGGAGTATGCTGTCTATTACGTGTCTGAATGCTGTGGGACCAGAGTACTAAATAGGGCAAACCTGGCCGGGGCTTCCCTTGTCTGTTAGTATTGCCTTTCCTGTGCTTCCCTTAAAAAGAAAAAGAACAACCTGATGCACATAAAAATGTGTTGCCAGTTTTACCTCAATTGTATTGAATCGCAAAACAAAAAACCCATAAATAAATTTAAAAAAAGCAAAACACGCAAGTTGGAGGAATTGAAAATGCAGACCTGGGACCTTGATTTATCTATGCCTGCCCCATCTTCTTGACACTGTAAGACACATGGACATTGTGGTGCTTCTGCTGTGGCAGGCTTTTTCTGTGACATGGGGCATCTAATTCTTTGATTTCCAATATCCTGCTCTCTGAGTTAAGGTTTTTGAGCCTAAAATGATTGGAAGATCCATTTGTTTTACAAATAATTTATTTAAGAAAAATTATGGTAAACTTCTAACATGTCACCTTTTCTATTTTACCAATCTGGAGAGGCAGGCAATGAGAGGACAAGATGGCCTTAGAGAGATACAGTAATATTAAGGGTTCCTGTCCGTGACTCCAGAAGTGCATTTACCAAGTTCTCTAGGATTACCGTGCCCACTCATCACAGTGGTGTTAAAAGGAGAAAGTCAAGCTTAGCCAGGGAGGAGGTGGCACATATCTGAAAAGAAATCTGCAAAACCCTGGAAGTGGCCACCATTCCTGCATGTTTAACTTTACACACAGGTGGTCTCAATTCTCACTTTTTGTTCAACAAATGTGTCCTAAATCATATGTCATACCAGTGAATTTGGTGAATGAAAACATATCTTCTCATTGGAAACAAATGTCTCACTTCAGAGATATTTAATTGGAATATCTGGTTGACCTTTAGTTGATAGTGACTCTCATCTGTATGTTATTTATCTAGACAAATTTCTTCATTACATTTTCCATAATGGATATAATTTAATACATGTAAAGAAATCACCTAGTCCAATAATCTTAAACTTTAGGACCAGAGGTCACCGAGGGCAGCGAAGGTAAAGCACGGGACCAGAATGCTAGCACTGTCTGGATCAGTGTGTCCACAGACACACCGGCTACTTGAAGTATCACATTTTAGGTTCCAAAGGGGCTGAGAACCACTGGGATAGACTCTTTCATATATGGGAGCTCCCAGATGGGTTAATCTTGTTGGACAAGAAGACAGCAAGGGAGCAGTGGGGCTCGTTGCTCCCAGACTGGAGCTCCTCCTGTCATAATCTGTCACCTAAATAGAAGTCCTTGTGGGGGAATCCTTTGGCTGTACCCCCTCAGTCGTCCTGTAGTAATATCATTTGTGGGGGAATCCTTTGGCTGTACCCCCTCAGTCGTCCTGTAGTGATATCATTTGTGGGGGAATCCTTTGGCTGTACCCCCTCAGTCATCCTGCAGTGATATCATTTGTGGGGGAATCCTTTGGCTGTCCCCCCTCAGTCGTCCTGCAGTAATATCATTTGTGGGGGAATCCTTTGGCTGTACCCCCTCAGTCGTCCTGCAGTGATATCATTTGTGGGGGAATCCTTTGGCTGTACCCCCTCAGTCGTCCTGCAGTGATATCATTTGTGGGGGAATCCTTTGGCTGTACCCCCTCAGTCGTCCTGCAGTGATATCATTTGTGGGGGAATCCTTTGGCTGTACCCCCTCAGTCGTCCTGCAGTGATATCATTTGTGGGGGAATCCTTTGGCTGTACCCCCTCAGTCGTCCTGCAGTGATATCATTTGTGGGGGAATCCTTTGGCTGTTCCCCCTCAGTCGTCCTGCAGTGATATCATTTGTGGTATTGGTCTGAAAGCATTTGTTGTTCTCCTTTTGATTTTCCAGGGTGGTATGGAAATGGAAGACTGATGAATGGATGAATAGATATGGATGGGAAATTATCTGTACTATAATTTCTTCTTGCTGATCTTAACCCATTTCCCTTTGCCTGCAGTGGCAAAGGGAATATGTGGATATTGTCCCCTTAGCCAAGAAAATGTTCCTTTTAGGCATTCCTGGGCCTGTCTCTGTTATCCTAATGCCTTTGACTGAGGCTACAAAGCTGATGTGTGGAACATCCAGGAAGTGCACTCTCTTCGATAGGATTCCCAGAAGACCTGCCACCTGCCAGTTCTGTTCTGTTTTCCTGATGAAACATTGCTCACTGTGAAATCAAACATTTGCAGAAGGCCTCAGATCTCCTTGAAGAGCTCACTAAGATTCAGGAGCCTTGATTTTATTCTGGAATCTGACACCAGTGTGCTCTACAGTTCATTGAGTTCTTCTAGTTATCTCTCCCTCTCACTCATTCATGTGTAGGATTAAGTAAGACGTTTTCCCCTTCTTTGAAAATGTTAGTACTTATTTTCAGGAATTCAATTCAGATATTCCAAATGTCTCCAACATGCATATAAAACACTATAGTAGACACTTTGGGGCAGAATGTAAAGAAAAAACTAAGAACTTTATGATGATGATGACGTTATTTCTATTTTATGTATGAGTAAACTGAGGCTTGGTGAAGCTAATTATATTGCACAAGGTCACCAACCTAGGAAGAGCCGGAATTCAAACCCATGCCAGTTTGATTTCAAAGGCTATGTCCTTCTCATTGTCTCATGTTTGCTACAAAGATGATTGGAATATGGCTTCTTTCTCCAAGGGGCTTTAAGCCTGGAAAAGATGAGAGAGAAACTATAACTCGTAGGGTGTTCTGTAAATTCTGCAAAATATACAAAAATACAGAGCTATGCAAGAATGATAAATGTGAAAATTATTTAAAGTTATGTATGGTTCTTTGTTATTGGTTATGTTGTTACCACGGCTACAGCTTGAACCTCTCTTACAGTTTTGAATTAAAAGCTACACAGATGTATATGCAGATATGCTGACATTAACGGACAAAGTCATGCCACAGATGACAGCAAATGCCAATGTCAGAGATGTTCAGGGAACTTTAAACTTTCCAGTAGCTGTGAGGAGCAGGTACTGGTGTAATCCCTGACTCGACACCATCCTCTCCAACTGTAGTTTGCAACTGAGCCCTCTCCATGGTTCAGTGACACAGCTGGCTCCTCAAGAAATCAATGCTGATCTGAGCTTGTCCTGCTGCTGCTACCTAAGGGCAAGTTAACACCATTCCCCAAATGTGGGAACGAAGGATTTCAGAAGTCCCAGGGCAACATTCTGTAAGGAATCAAACACTCATGCTCTGCAAAGGTTAAACCCCAGGCCAGATTCCAGATTCTTATCCTCCAAAGCTCTATGAGAGAACTGTTACTGCCTTCAGAGACTATGGCTCTGGCTCAATAAAAACAAACCAATTTATAACTGTGTTACAGACACAGTCCACTTGTAACTCCATTAAGAGGCATTACATGCTAGATGTGCAGCCCCGTGACCATTGTAGCTGCCAGACCCAAAGCAAAGATTCATTTGCTTTTAAGATATGACCTTCCTGGGATCAGACCCACCAAGCTCTGGATGCCCAGAAGGCTGCTCAGGTTGGAACATCTGTAGCCCCTGCCTTGGAGATTAAGAAACACTTGTTCCAGCTGTAAGCCTCGCCAAATGTCTCTGCATCACAGAAATGAGATCTGGCCAGCGTGGAATGCAGGGGGCCCCCAGCTTGCATCACATTCTTCCAGGCTTAATCTACTCAACAACAAAAGTGGAAACAGCTTTCTAGCCCCGCTTAGCCAACTGAATGTACAGTATAATCTAACATTGCTATATGGCAGCCTTAACTGTAGTGAACTCTATACCATGTTCCCCTAGAGAGCTATGCAGTGCTTCCTTCCCTGAAGGCACGAGTTTTGGAACAACAGTTTTTCAATAGGAAAAAGAATAACCTA